ACACAAACACAAACACAAACACAAACACACCATGCATGCCGGAGGCGTGTTGATGTGCAGCTGGTGGTTACCATAGTAACCAGAGCATCTGCAGAGGCAGCAGTCAGAGGGGTCTGTGGGTCATCTGAGGAGCTTCAGTTATTTGAGTGTGTGCGTGTGTATTTTTAATCATTATTATAATTATTTTGAGGAGTCACATGACTAACTCCTCCAATCACAGTCCACTTCAGTCTTCAGCTGTCTTTAGGACCGGGGGGGGGGGGGTTCTGCAGGTCTGTTCTGACCAAGACCATCATTCTGGAAGTATATCATATTAAATACCTGCAGAGAGAGACGAGTGGAGGCATCCAGAGGTTCAAACCTCCATCCTCCTTCTCCATCAAACTGAAGCAGGTGAGAGTGGTACTTCCTGTCAGACAGAAGAGGAGGAGGAGAAGAAGAAAGAGAAGAAGAAGAAGAAGAAGAAGAAGAAGAAGAAGAAGAAGAAGAAGAAGAAGAAGAAGAAGAGGATCATCAGGGTGGGGCAGCTGAGAGCAGCTCAGAGCTCTGCTGCCCCCTGCAGGAGGGAAACCAAACTACTTCATCTTGACATGATTTGTTTTTAAACACTGAGTCACACAAACAGCTCATATCAATCAATCAATCAATCAATCAATCAATCAATCAATCAATCAATCAATCAATCAATCAATCTTTTTGTAGTCAATATCATAACTGATATACATCTGAAACAGACAATTGTGTGTGTGTGCTTACTGACCACAGAGAGGGTCTGTGTGTGATTGAAAGCAGAGCTATCCCAGCATCCTTTGCAGCCTGAAAGATGTTTCCCTCCACATCGATGCTGACGGCGCTCGTACACTCATCCAGCAGAGCGTACCGAGGGCTGGGCGAGAGACATTCACATCACAGGGAGAAAGAGAGACTGTCAGAAGACAACAAGCAGTCAGACAGACAGCATCCAGGTCCAGCTCCAGGTCCTGGTGTCAGCACACCGAGTACCTCAGAGACCAGGACCACAGACTCAGGTGGAGCAACCCCCCTCCACTGTTTCCTGTCTCAACAACTCTGGACTCAGGTGATCCAGGTTCCCTGATGAACTGCCTTCATGTGAGTCTGTTCTGAGGAATCTCAACTCATCTGTGTCAGCTGTCAGTCAGAAAACAGTCAGTATAAATCCCAGAGTTAAGTCTGACAGGTGTTCATTTTTACCTGCTGTCTGAGCCTCACCTGTGAGTTAGAGAACAGGCAGTAAACAGTGAATATTTACCGGTGGTAGAACATACGAGCCATCCCCATTCTCTGCTTCTCTCCTCCAGAAAGAACGTCTTTCCAGTCACTGACAGACTCCCAGCCTGACAGACAGAGACCAGACAGAGACCAGTCAGTACAGGGAACCAGACTGTTTCTCTTCTTCATGAACACAACTGTAAAACATCAGGGCATCAACAGTGAAGTATGAAACATTAACATTAGAGACACAGAACAAAAGCAGCAGCAGCAGGACGTTTAAAGTCCACTGGGCCCTAAACACAGCATGATGTCTGCATCTCGTCACTTTACACGTGTTTATGTTGTCAAACGTGTTGTTTGGTACGTTCATGAAGTCTGACAGGCAGCAGCAGTGATCAGCTGATGAGATCAGATCAGATCTCTCTCTCACACTCTCTCACACACACACACACACACACACACACACACACACACACACACACACACGTTTACAGACTGACCTCCCTCACGGTCCAGGATGTACACCAGGTGGACGGTCCGGAGGATCTCTTCCAGATTTGAATCAGTGATCCCCCTCTGAACCATCTCCTCCACCGAATCTGGATAGATCACCTGGTCCCTGAGGGTCCCCTCTGACATGTAGGGCCTATACAGGATACAGTATTACATCATCACAACAGTACTACAGGTAGATCACCTGGTCCCTGAGGGCCCCCATCCTTACTACAGTCCTACTACAGTCCTGCTTCAGTGATGGTGACAGTACAGTTCCAGATGGTACAATTGTAGTACCACCTCTGTGGGCTGTAGCACATGTACTGAGGTTCTGTAGTGTCTGATTTCTTTCTGTGGAAAGACTTGAAACAAATGATGACCTCAGATGACATCACTGATGATGTGTCCAAGAGCAGCTAACTCACCAGGGGCTGCTAACACCACCTCTCTACAACCTCCCCATAAGCCTCCTACAACCCCAACCAGTTGGTGACTCAAGCACTGTGCTTGAGCCACCCCAGTCCAGCCCCCCAGGTGGTCTGGCATGCGCAATCAGGTGCAGTGGCCATCCTCAGTGGTTGCTTTCCTCTATGATCCGGCATGTGGCGGTGCACGGTGGCAGGACTCTCTGGTGTCGAGGTGTCTGTGTGAAGGACATTACACCCACTGCTCTGCAGCTGATTCAGGCTCCTCACAGACAGTCTGCTGGACAATGGGAGGAGGTGCGTGATTTCCGGTTGGTTACGCCTGCTCTTGGATTTCTAGCTCAGTTATTCTAGATCAGAACCTCACTCTTGAATTCCATGTTAAAAGGCTATAGCTAAGTGAAAAATATATCTACATCATTTAATGATCTTCTTTTAAGTCTTTACGAGCTCCATCAGTGTCTTTACAGGCTCCGTCATTTACCAGCTTCATCAGTGAAGCTGATTGTGACTTCCTACCACCGCTCAGGACGGGCAGCCGACTGTTGACCAATGAAGGCTGTCCAAGCTTCCAGACGCCATCACCACACTCAGAGCACACAGTCCTGTTGTCTGAAACAGGCAAGTGGTCCTGATGGGATTGACTGTCCACTAGGAGGACTGAATGGAGGAGGCCTCAGAGTGACAGGCAGTTACTCAGACCTGGTAGAGGAGTGCTGGAGTCAAGGATGGTAAGAGCAATGTGTTCCCACTGAGGACAGCTGCAGAGGATGTCTGTGAAATAACGGCTGGACAGTATAGTACTAGTAGCAGTAGTAGTAATAGTAGTAGTACTAGTAGCAGTACCTCTGAGGGATGTAGAACATGTGCTGTGGTTCTGGACGGTACAGGACTCCTCCATAAACAGGCCACAGTCCACTGAGGATCCTGAACAGAGAACTCTTCCCACAGCCGTTTGGACCTGTGATCAACACATTCATTCCCTCATCCATCTGACACACAGGGACAAAAAATACACTTTATTAAACCTGATTCGATAGATATGTAAACAAACAGAAAAGTCTGCTGATTTTGTTTTTTCATGACACAAGATGAAAACAGCTGGGAACTAGGTGGTTGCTATGGTGCTCTTCTCGTCAGTTTCTAGGTTAGAAACAGATGACTGGGAAGATGTTTCAGGTGGTTGTTGTGGGATTTCTTTGTGGTTTCAAGGCAGTTGCTAAGGTTCTCTTGGTGGTTGCTAAGGCTTTACAATTACTGTCAGTAGTTAACATCGCAGCATTTGTGAGGATTGACTGGAACTAGGGACGTAATGATACCAGAAGTCTGGACGTTTGGTACCAAGACCAGTGAAATTCCACGATACTCAATCCCAAATATGATACCACAACAAAAGAAACAGAGAAGAGGCTGCTGCACAGTGTGCTAACAAACATGCACATGTGTGTGCACAAACACACACATGCACACACTTAGTTTAAATTGACTAACAGACCCATGATGTGAAAATATTAATTTAAAGTCAGTGTTACATTCTGACAGACTGAACAGTGATGACTGTACCTGCTAATGTTGTGAGTATCCACCTCACACTATGAGCTGTCGCTACGTTAGCCTGAACAAGCTAAGGTTGGCCTAAAAAGAAGGTAACGTCAGCATCAACATATGTGAACGTTGTGTGGGGCATAGCTACAACAGATGTCTCTGTCACAGTTCACACACAGTAACATTTCAGGATATAGACAAGTTGACGACATGTTGTTGATATAAAGTGAACAACTGAAACTACGAGGAGCTAAGTAAGTGGATGTTCAGTTTAGACTAATGGGCTGATCCAGCTGCAGGACAGTGGACTGCCACTGTTACACTGAAGTGTTGTGTGATGAACTTGTGCCTCAGACTGATTATTATTACTGACACCAACAGAGAAAAACACTGTGGTTCTGATTCACATATCAAACTGAGTGTTGATTAAATCTGTATCTGACAAACTGAAATAAATAACTGCAGCTATAGACACAGATCCTCACGGATTAGACTGCAAAACTCTGACAGTCTGATGAACCACTTTTCTGAAATCTTCAGACTCTGCAGGTGACGACACTCTGAGAGAACCAACCAATCACAGAGCAGCTGTCGGAGCCGAGGGGTCTAAGGTCGAAAACCAGACGAAAGAGAGGATGTTCTGTTTCCATCAATGTTCCTCTTCTTCTTCTGTCATGTTTTCTTCTGTTGCGTCTGTGCCACAAGAATTTCCCTCAATTTAATCCCTCTATTGTGTGTCTGTGTGCGAACACATGCACACACACACTCACACTCACACACACACTCACACACACAGTCTGTGTTTCAGTAATGCTAATGAGCTGCAGGCTCTGCTGTGACCTCTAACCTCAGTCAGATGGAAACACTGGTGAAAGAATGAGAGTTAAAAAGATGAAAAATAGATAAAGGCATCATAGCACTGAGCATGGTCTATACCACAGTGACATCATCACTACCCTCACACATATACCAATCAGACACAACTGTTTGTTACCACAGATTTTCCAGAGAGAAATCCATACATGCTGCAACAGTGACACCCTGTGGTCACCAACACAAACTACACACAAACAACACTGCACACAGACAACAGACTTAGTTTCCCAGGGAAAGTGGAGGAATAACCACTGTAAAACCTGCTGTATGTTGCCCTGGAAACCACCCTCCACACTCTGATCAACACTCAGTCAGCTGTTACTGTTATGGAGCTCTATAGTGGTGACATGTCAGTTCTGTCAAAGACGTTTTCCCAGCTGTTCATTCAAATATAGCTTTTAGCCCAGTGAGCATGCTCAACCTCACAGCATAGTGGATTGTTACTCTCCCAGGACTTCCACTCTGCACTTGTCGTCTCACAGGCATTAGAGAAAATATATGAAACAGGGAAAATAGACAAAAATAGTGTCATGAGAGAAAGGAAGGACGAAAAAGCTCTGATGTGGTGTGGTTGGTTTTGGCTGCAGGGCACACACCATGCAGCTGGATGTTCTGAACCACTACGCATCTCTGATGTGGTGGCAATAGGCTGAAAGACAGTCCAACTGTCACCCCTTTCCTACTCAGGCTGCAGGCTGTGCAGATCAGGTTGACGATGACAGAGGCTAAAGTAAGATGCTGCCACTTGGTGGAACAGTACACTCTATGTGCTGGATAGCTTTCTGGAACAACGCCACAGACTACGACCTCCCTGCAACCCTCACTGCTCACCACAACAGTTCAGTTATTATCTTATAATGAGGATTTCTTTGTTTCCCTGCTACTAAAGGAAGAAGAAATAACAACAAAAACAAGAAAACAAACATCAGTATTGTCTCAGCCCAGAGTTTCATTCGGTTCATCTCTAGTTTCAGGTTACCTTGATGTTAAGGCTGGACACCACCACGTCTCCAGTCGGTGTGATGATTGGCAGGTTCTCACAGCGAATCCCCTTCTCCACACTGATCACCTGACCTGCACATGACAACAACACAACATGACAACATAATACAACAACATGACAACAAGATAAAAACACAACATGACAACAACATAACAACTCTGAGCTGAATGATGGATTTTGAACAGACACAGATCAACATCGTGACTCTGTGAAGAAGAGACCAGGTGTTTCCTCCTGTACAGGTACGAGTCGTATCAGAGAACACTGTTCTGATTTACAGCTTGTTTCTCATAATGCAATATGAACACAGACCTTGTCATGATACTCAGGTTTTGAATCCATCAGTGTGAGACAGTTAGAGCTGTTTCTACCCTCATGCCTGAGAAGGTCTGAGGGGCACTTCATAGAGATGAGTCAGCATCATGCTACATCGCTACAAGCTCCACCCACCTCTGATCTGCAGTCGACCACAGACTCTCTGACCGTGCTGAACCACAGCTGCGCCTCCTGCTGGTGACTCCTCCTCCTCTCTGTCTGCAGAGCGGCGGTAGATTCCCTGATTCACATCTTCAAACACATCCAACATCTCAGAGACACGAGCTGTGTAACCTGCCAGCTCTGTCACCTGGACAGGTAAATACACAGTAAGCTTCACTTTTTCACTGAGGTCAACACCTGTTCTACAAAGACACCTGTGGAGACAGAGACAACGATGAAGAGGAGAGAGAGAGGAGGAAGAGAGAGAGGAAAAGGAGTAGGAGAGAGAGAGAGGAAAGAGGATGAGGAGAGAGAGGAAAAGGAGAGAGGGAGAGGAAGAGGAGGAGAGAGAGAGGGGAAGAGGAGGAGAAAGAGAAGAAAAGGAGAGAGGGAGAAGAAGAAGAAGAGGAGAGAGAGAGGAAGAGGAGGAGAAAGAGAGAAGGAGAGAGAGAGAAAGAGGAGGTCACCTCCTTGTATGAGCTCATGATCCTCTCCACAGCGTCTGCTCCAGCGTTGAGGAGGTTTCTGGCCGTGGTGAAGGCCTGCGTCCTCTCACTCACCAACTCCTCTTCCTTCATCACCATAGCCGCCTGCTTCACCTCCTCAGAATCTGGAGGTCACAGTTCAAAGGTCACACATCATCAGTGTTTGTTACAACCAGTATCTGGTTTGTTTTTATCAACCTTTATTTACACATGTGATGAAGAACAGAGAAACCTCCATCAGCTGGAGCCTGTGTCACATGGTCAACATGTTCCCTTGTCAACTGTATTTAATACATCATGTATATTCAGTGTGTGTTTACCATATTTGGAGTATCCTGTGGCGGTGATGATGGGCACAGCGACCATCACCAGGCCGGAGGCACTCCACACGTACTTCATGAGGAACTGTTCCAACATGACGTACCAGAGTCGCTTTAACAGGATCTGATGGATCTGAGACGACAGAGACATGTAGCTCCTCTGCAGCTGGGCCATCTCCACCTACGAATCAAACACACCTCTACATTAACATCACAGACGGGGCCATCTCCACCTATGAATCAAAGACACCCTGCACAGTGCTGACTGTATGACTTCCTGTTAAAATTCCAGTTATTGTTTAAAGCTGCAGTGATTTGTTGTGTTCACCGGGGGGCGTCCTGTACCTTGTGTCCTCCATAGAACGCGATCTCCTCAGAGTTGGCGATGATGCGTGAGTGCATGTATCTCAGGTCTCCTTTCCTCTTCGCCTCCTCGGACACCAGTTTCCCAAATCGAGGCGAGCAGGAGCGCAGGACTTTGGCGGTGAGTGCCACCACCAGGCCGGCAATAACAGACGGCCATGTGGTGTTTGCTCCTGCAGGATGGTAGTGATGTTTAAACACTCTGACCTGTGGTGTGTTATGTTCTGGCACACGAACACTGACCCACCTTTAGAGTGGGCGGTGCGCAGCAGGGTGTAGCAGGTGACAACCACGTCCAGGATGGGTTTGGTCAGGTTGGAGTAGAGATGAGCAACGGAGGCTGAAAACATGACGATGTCCTCAGTGAGAGACTGATCGGGATTGGACAGACGAGCATCCATGTTACTGACCCGGTAATAAGTCTGCAGAGACAGAGAGACATTATAGAGGACTTCCAGCTGACGCATCATGTCCCCGCCCACCTGTCCTGTGTCCAGGTACGAACATGAAGGCAGAGCAACAGTTGTGTCTATACAGACTGATGCACCTGAGAGGGATCAAAGATTCAAGTATTTTGTGGTGACTCTGGACCACCAGCAGGTTTTAACCCAGTTTAAACTGATAATGTTCCAGGTGAACAGGTGATATATACTTCAGGGTGACTAGAGTCACTGGAGTCACTCTGGAGATATTGATCAGTAATTAATAATGATCAGTCCAAGACTCAGAGGGCCTGAGTCAGGAAGTTGATGTGTGACAGGACAGAACACTGAGTCACAAAGAGATCAAAGGTGAACATGTTTTATTTTAGCTGGGAAAGTGTGTGTGTGTGTGTGTGTGTGTGTGTGTGTGTGTGTGTGTGTGTGTGTGTGTGTGTGTGTGTGAGACCTGGTTGGTGAAGTACAGCTGGTAGGCATGGTTGACCAATCGGCTCCTGAAGCTGAGGGCCAGCTGACCTTCCAGGAACCTGATGGTGCTGTTGATGAACGTTGCAGGAACTGCGATGAGTAGCCACTTAGAGAGCTGCAGCACGAAGGCCCGAGGATCCTTCTGAACTATAGTCTTAACTATCAATCCTGGAACAATCAATTCTATCGATTATTGATGCTCTTCTTTTGCACACACACTGGAATACACAAAAAAGGTACAGGTACAGACAGACAAACAGGTAGGTACAGATAGGTACAGACCATCCAGAGCAGCGACGTAGATGGATAGGAAGGTCCTGGACATCAGAGTGACAGAGTGTAAAACCAACAGACCGACCTCTGGACACAGTAACCGTGGAAACAAGAGCTTCAACAGACGAGACAGTCTGAGGACAAACTCCTTGTTCACTGATGGAGACCTGAAGATAGACGGAGACATCTGTCTGACTAGGTTCATTCTACAGTGTGAAGCTGCTTCATCTGGACCTGTTGTCATGGAAACAAGTCCTCTAACCCAAACCCTTAAGGGCACAGGCTTACTAACATTTTGCCATGGTAACTGCTGCACGCATGTTCGAGATAACAGATCTTTATATTTGTCTCATGTTGTATTTTGCTTAGTGTGACTGAAGCCAGGTAACGAAGAGATCCTGAGGTCTGTACTATGAAGCAGGATTCAAGGTTATTGAGGTAACTTCAGGTTTAATTCAGGGTTTTCAGCCCTAAGATGGTGGTTGTGTTCATTATAGTTTGTTCATCATCAGACAAAAGAAGAAACTTCATGATAATTCATGCACTTATTTACAATGTGTCCTTGGTCAGACCTTAATAATTAGAAATTATTTCTAGTGTTTCTTTTTTCTTCTTTCCAGTCATGTGATCATAGTGTTTACATTTCAACTGTTGAATATCACTTTTGGATGTCGCTATAACCACATTTACCTGCAGGCATCAGCGTTTCTTCTCATATCATATTAAGTACTTGGTTGGTGGTTCTGACGATGTTGCTTATAATTAACAACTCTGCCTCTTTCACATGAACACGCTTGTGCCTGTACAGGTAAACCCAGGGTTAACTGAGCTAGGTGATAACCAGCTTCGTAGTACAGGTTATCCAGCATGGTCAATGTTAGGTTCAGGTAAGCCACATAATGAAAAGGTGTCCTGGGTATGTTGAACTTGCCTCGTAGTAAAGGCCTATGGACCTGTTGGACTGCGCTGATTGATTCACTCAGATTTTCAGGAACCACAAACCTATCAGCGAGGATCTAGGTTATCTTCATAAGTCCACAATTTAGGAACTAGTTTTCATGACCAGTACTCCAATAGCTGCTTTTAGAGTCTCTGGACTCAATTTCAGACTGATGGAGAGACACTGTAACACACACACACACACACACACACACACACACACACACACACACACACACACACACACACACCTGCTGTCACTTTTCTGCTTCTTCTTCTTCTCTGTGCTGTTTCCCACAGAGCTGGAGGTGGTGGCCACACCCACAGGGAGGTTAGTTTCACCCAGCTGTTTACCTTCTGCACTCCTCTGAAAACAAAACAAACACACTCAGTGTGTGTACGTGTGTGTTTGTGTGTGTGTGCATGTGTGTGTGTTTCTTCACCTGTATCCTCCTCCAGACATACGGGGACATTTTTTTGACGGCATAGGCGGCAAGCAGCACGGCCATCAGCTTCCTGAGTCTGGAGCTCCGCCTCAGCTGAGCCGGTAGCTTCTGATAGGTCAGCTGCATGCTGACAGAGAGGTGACAGGTGACCAATCAGGGGAAAGAAACAGAAGTGCATCACAGGAGGAGTCCAAACTGAACTTGGTCCCAGAGGGGTCCACTGAGACAGCAGGGTTGTCGTCATGGAAACAACATGATGAACTCTGGGGCTGACCCTCGACCTGCACAAGTGAGAGAAGGTGAGTGAACTTTCTGTGACAAATGTTCAGTCTGTGCTGCATGAGGACACGCCTCCATCTCAGCAGCTGATTGATCAAAGCCTGAGATTATCAGTATTTATGATCAATACTGTCTGAGACTGCATCAACATCATAACTAACCATCATCTTCATCATCATAACTAACCATCACCTATTCATTATTACTGACCATCATCTTCATCATCACAATGGTTATTTTTCACTTTCTCTGAAAGAAATATAAAATGTGAATGTGAGCTTCACTATCTTAATTCAGCTTTGTTATGAATTAAACAGTAAATTCAGGAGAAATTATCAGTCGATAGAGTTCATTTTATTATTATTATTAGACAGAGCAGTTGGCTGTAAACAAACATCAGTATCTAATGATTTTTATAAACCAAATATGTTCACAGATCAATCGTTAAGATCGTTAATACATGCAACTTCAGTAATAATCTGATGATTCACTGTGTTCAGCTTTAATACGGTCAGTACTAACGTACTGCAGTACTACTATGGTGTCAGTACTTTTACCTGGGAGCTGTGATAGCGGTCATAAACGGTGACGGTAATGTCCCGTGTCTCCGCTCCGTCCTTTACACCCACTTGTATTATGGCCGACTGTTCACACCGATAAAACCCGGTAAGTCTGATTCTGTGAGTCTGGTTAGTTAGCTCCGGTTACCGTTAGCTTCGGTAAAGACTGTGTAGCAGCCGGCTAACAGTACACAACTGCCTTTACTCATCGTGTCAGACATAAACCCGTTTTCTTTAGATGTCTATCGACCGTTAACTCCGGGTCCGGGTCCGCGGTGTCGAAACCGAACCAAACAAAGATTTTAAATCGAGTTTAAATACCCTGCAGCTAACGGAGCGATGCTAACAAAGCTAGCCGCTAACAGCAGGAACTTTGTTGTTCCTCTGATGTGAACATGAAAAGATTTTTGTTTAACGGTCTGATCCGGTCCTTGTGGTCCGGGTCTGACCAGGACACGTACTCTAATTCCTTATGTTCCTCCTCTAAGACGCTGTCGTTTTACTTAATCTTTAACCCGGTTAACGGAGTTTAATGTCGCGGGAGAAAGTTCAGCCTGTTTACCTGAGAGGACAGGTTGCGTCCCAATACTCACTCCTCCTCTCCTACATCCTACCTTCCTACACAGAGACCTTCCCTTCTTCGGTCCCTTGTTACCAGCTGGGGTTAGTGGTAACCAGCTGTGAACTGTAGGTACCAGGCGGGGGTTTAGGTGCTTTGCTTTAGGGCACGTCCGTGCTGTTCATTCACTTCCCTTACTTGCTTTTCTTCCTGGTCTAGGGATTAGACTGGGCGACCTTTCAGTTCCAGACCTGCTTCTGTAACCAGGCTGCTGCTGTAAGATCTGCAACGCCCCCTGTAGGTCCAGGTCTGTGAAGATAGCTTACTCTGTGACTGATGAAGAATCAGTTAAACGTAAACAGTGTAAACCTGGATTAAAAGACAGCTCAAACCGTGAAGACAAAACTTTATTTAAAAAAAGCATGTTTACAGCCTGTCAGTCATTTATTTACAGTAAGCTTTTTCATTGTCCAATATGATACAGCAGAAAGATTCAGAGTGAAAAAGTACAAATGACTGAAGAGTCCAAAAAGATAGAAAATGATTTTTACACAAAGTTAAGAGACAAAAACCAACTGTACAGAGTGCACCTGAACACATCACAGCAGAGACAGCTGTGACATCACACTGACTGTCCACAAAGCTGGTCCTGGACCTGAAGGGGGACAGGACATCATCACAAGTCCTACTGGTACAACAGAGTACTGTAGTTAGTACTAGTACTGCATGGTACAGGTACTACTACAGTACAGTACTGAACAGTGTCAGGGCTGCAGGTCTGAGGACACAGAGTTCACCTCCTGTCACTACACCTGTTAAACCTGATACATGATGATGGATTCAGAGACTAAATCTGAAGGTTTGAGTCAAACAAATATATTAAATCAATATTAAATGAACTGATGATCAGTAGAATGAAAAAAACAGCACCAGACAAAATCAACAGTTACAGTTCAATGATTAAACAGACTTTTTAAATAGTCAGAAAATTGCACAGAGTTTGGTTGGCAGCTGGTGGAGTACTGCTGGAGACCTGTGGCCTCTATAATCCTGACTACAGCCCTGAATACTTCTACTGTGCAATACTGTTCTGAGTATCAGAGTATTACACACTGGTACTGCAGTATTCAGACTGGTTCATGAAACAGTCATGAAACAGTCACTCAGTATATTTACATTTGTGTTTCTGTCTTGTCCTGACATCTGTTCTGCTTTGGTGTAAGACCGGAGTGAGAAGAGGTGCATGCTGGGACTGAAGCCATGGTCACATGAGAGCTGGGGTCAGTCTTCTAAACAAACCACAGATGTTAATGAGACAGAAGTTATTCAGTGTGGTCAGACCTCTGTCAATCAGAGGGTGACAGCTGCAGTGTCCAATCCTGTGCTTGGGTTTCTGAAGATGGGTGGGGCTTATATTTGGATAACTGTTTGATCTGCTGCTCTGTTGATTCTGGTTTGTTGTGGAGAAGCCAATCAGGTGAAGAGACCAGTTACCTGTAGAGTGACATCAGTCTTCTGCTCTACCTGTGGAGTTGTGCGGGAGAACTGATCTGGTTCTGAGGGTCCAGACACAGATGTTGAGCCAGTAAATATTGTGTCAATATTATTATTTCATTTGGCAGTAATGAGGTTGAGTGGTTTGTGTCTACCTGCTGCAGATACCTGCTCACCTGTTCATCAGTGTGGAGTCAGTGTATATGTGTTCTTATTGATGCCACACATGTCAGTCATTAACCAGCTGTTTGAAGGTTTTAAATAACAAGCGTCTGACCTCTGACCTGTCATGTGACCGCGGCTGCGTTTGGAGGGAACTGGAGGTCAGACTGGTTTTTGTGGAGCTGAACAACCTGATTTTAAAAACTGATCTCAGAACAGAACCAAAGCACAGACTCAGAGTTTTTGGTTCAGAGAACAAACTGATAACAGACCAGCAACAAAACAACATGAAGCACGTTCTTATGTTGACCACAGGAACACAGACTCAGCAGGTGTCAGCAGAGAAAACCTATCATCAAACAGTAATAATCAATATTCTATAATAAAGGTGGAGCAGACCTGACACCATCAGACCTCCATCAATACTTCACATGGTTTACAAAGCTGCATTAAAGTGATCTTTTCACTGGAGCTCAGTACAAAACAGGATCAATAAACCAATCAATCACAATACAAACACTGACATCATTGTCTGATTGTCGCTGCAAACCATTTTTATCCTGAAACAATTGAAACACAGAGATCCTCTTATTGCTCTCAGACCGGACCTGGATCTGGATTCTGAAGTCCTGCAGAGACTGAAGACCTGGACCTGATCAGCTCTGACTGCAGTTCCTGTCTCAGTCAGGAGGAGGAAGGAAGATCTGTTTTCATGTTTGACTGAGATGTTCAATAAAACAGACAGAGGACCAGTATGACCAGTGAAGCAGCTCTCAGCCCGTCAGCATCAGGAGCCTCTGCTCTAAGAAAACCACATGGTGGTTGTTGTTGTTGTTAGCAACAGCAACAGTTGTTGTATTCTCTGCATGGTCTGTTGCTGCTATGTCACAAGTGTGTATCATGTGACCTGTTGTATCACTGTCTATCTGTGAAGTCTTACACCAATAGGAAAAAGGTTGGATTTATAAAACAAACCTGACAGGAGAACATTCACCTGTACAAGTGTATCCAGGTCTACAGACACTTTGGAGAAACAGAAGGTGAAACTTAATGATCTTTTATATTGATCTAGAGGTGCACTGATTAGTTGAATATTTATATCACTTCAAATCAGAACATTAATTTAATATGTGATGTCCCAAATATCTAACCGTGTTAGATGTTTGTAACAGGCTAACAGTCTGACAAGCTAACAGGCCAACAGGCTAACAGTCTGACAGGCTAACAGGCCAACAGGCTAACAGTCTGACAAGCTAACAGGCCAACAGGCTAACAGTCTGACAAGCTAACAGGCCAACAGGCTAACAGTCTGACAAATCTAAAAGTCTAACAGGTTAAAAGGCTAAAAGTGTGACAGGCTAACAGGCTGACATGCTAACAGCCTAAAAGTCTGTAAAACTAACAGGCTAACAGGCTAATAGGCTGCTGCATCAATCACAACATATCAGCTTCTGTTGTGTTTATTTCTTCAGACCAGCTGCTGTTCTCCACAGGAACAACAGGTTATCATGAAGCATTTTACAATGACCATAATGGGCAGAGAGCGGGGCCAAATCCTGCACACCTGGAGGTACAAAGGGAACCTGTCTATTCGTACATTAACTTGATCAGTATGTGCACAACACTGCTGTGAGCACATTACCTTTGGTTTGGATCCTTCAGGTTCTGAGGCTCCTGATGCTGTAAGGGCTGCTGGGACTGGATCTGTCTCAGCAGTGGTGACTCTGTCACCGACCTGCTGCTTTTCACTCTTTAATATGATCAGAGACACAACAGGAAGCTCAGTTGAGCTCATCAATCTGCATCAGCTGCTTCACGGTTAGTGCAGAGACACTGAGTCCATACTGTAAAAACACCTGGAGAACTTCACCTGCTGGTTTCAGAAGAACTCACCTGAGGGATCAAGGTCACCTGATCTGATCAGTTTAACTTTATCAAAAGTTCATCTTTCAGATTTATAAACTGCTGGTTGGCTGGACTGAGCTGGTGATATCTAAACGCTTGTGTCCTCAGAGAGAGTGCATTATCATTATCATTATCATCATCATCATCATCATCATCATCATCATCATCATCATCATCATCATCATCATCATCATTATCGTCATTATCATCATCATCCTCACTGTTATCAAAAGTTCTTATAAAAACTCTGATGTGTCCTGATTGTCTGAGCAGAGGCTGAGAGACGAGGACACTGTCGTAAAAAAATTAGAAACAACCCACGACAGAAGTAAACGGGAAACAAGTCCAGGTCCACGATGTTTAGACGTGTCCTCGAGTTCATTTCTATCCCTGATACAAAGACCAGTTCATTAAAGCCGAGCAGCACCTGAACCTGGAGAGGATGGTCAGCTGACCTGAGTCCAGATACCAGATACACCTCAGCCAGCTTTGTGGTTTATCCAGTCATTCTGTCTGTTTTTTTTTATCCACAGACTCAACCTGGGCAATGACATCATCATCATCCTCTGTGACATCATGGTGGGCGGGGTTTCAGGTGAAGTCAGAGAGAAAAAAGTTGTGAGGAGCTGCTGCAGCGACCTGAAGAGAACCACCTCATGTCAACACTGAGCTGCAGGTCCTGGAGAACAGGAGGAGGTTCTGTGTGTCCAGGTGACTACGGGTGGTTGATCCCAGGAAGCCAGCCTAGGATTGGTCTGTTTATCCGTCTGTCAGTGTGATGCTTGGTCGGTGAGTCAGACCAGAGTCCCAGGAGACGGTTGGTCAACAGACGGGTCTTTGAGAAGAACTTCCTGTTTCTGAGGAGGGAAGGAGTCATGGTAGAGAGAGCTGTCCATAGACCTGAGAGAGAGAGAGAGGTGGTCAGGTACAGGACTCAGGTGCTCTTACAGCAGTGGATCTGCACCTGGACAGGTGAGCTGCCCTACCTGCCGTGCAGTGGGCGTCCATGGAACGTGGCTGAATGCGGCAGCATTTGTTTGTAATGTGGCGGAGCGTGATGATGACTCTCCTCGGTCTGATAGTTTGACTGTTGGATGACACCGTGAGTTGTCCGTCTGCGCTGCAGAGCTCCGCCTCCACCTGCCTGACCTTTGACCCCCCCGTTCACCTTAGTTGATGCCCCTGTGGTGACCCCTGTGTTCACCTTTCCATTGGCCTGGTTTTGGTGGGTGGAGCCTATGGTGTTCCTCAGGTACCAGTCCCTCAGACCTGTCAAGGACACATCAGATATTAGTTATTATTAGTTATAAGTTACAGCAGAGTTTACCTGCTGAGTCACTGTCACACCTGAGGATGATCCACATCTGACTTTACATCAAATACACTGCGTTCCAAATTATTATGCAAATTGGATTTAAGTGTCATAAACATTTAATTTTTTGTTTCTCAATTAAACTCATGGATGGTATTGTGTCTCAGGGCTCTTTGGATCATTGAAATCAATCTCAGACACCTGTGATAATTAGTTTGCCAGGTGAGCCCAATCAAAGGAAAACTACTTAAGAAGGACATTCCACATTATTAAGCAGGCCACAGGTTTCAAGCAATATGGGAAAGAAAAAGGATCTCTCTGCTGCCGAAAAGCGTCAAATAGTGCAATACCTTGGACAAGGTATGAAAACATTAGATATATCACGAAAACTTAAGCGTGATCATCGTACTGTAAAGAGATTTGTGGCTGATTCAGAGCACAGACGGGTTCGTGCAGATAAAGGCATAATGAGGAAGGTTTCTGCCAGACAAATTCATCGGATTAGGAGAGCAGCTGCTAAAATGTCATTACAAAGTAGCAAACAGGTATTTGAAGCTGCTGGTGCCTCTGGAGTCCCGCGAACCTCAAGGTGTAGGATCCTCCAGAGATTTGCAGTTGTGCATAAACCTGCTATTCGGCCACCCCTAAACAATGCTCACAAGCAGAAACGGTTGCAGTGGGCTCAGAAATACAGGAAGACTAATTTTCAAACAGTCTTGTTTACTGATGAGTGCCGTGCAACCTTGGATGGTCCAGATGGATGGAGTAGTGGATGGTTGGTGGATGGCCACCATGTCCCAACAAAGTAGCGACGTCAGCAAGGAGGTGGTGGAGTCATGTTTTGGGCCGGAATCATTGGGAGAGAGCTGATGGGCCCCTTTAGGGTCCCTGAAGGTGTGAAAATGACCTCGGCAAAGTATGTAGAGTTTCTGACTGACCACTTTCTTCCGTGGTACAAAAAGAAGAACCGTGCCTTCCGTAGCAAAATCATCTTCATGCATGACAATGCACCATCTCATGCTGCAAAGAATACCTCTGTGTCCTTGGCTGCTATGGGCATAAAAGGAGAGAAACCCATGGTGTGGCCCCCATCTTCCCCTGACCTCAACCCTATTGAGAACCTTTGGAGCATCCTCAAGCAAAAGATCTATGAGGGTGGGAGGCAGTTCACATCAAAACAGCAGCTCTGGGAGGCTATTCTGACATCCTGCAAAGAAATCCAAGCAGAAACTCTCCAAAAACTCACAAGTTCAATGGATGCAAGAATTGTGAAGGTGATATCAAAGAAGGGGTCCTATGCTAACATGTAACTTGGCCTGTTAAGATGTTTTTCATTTAAATAGCTTTTGATTTCAGTAAATATGACCTCCTAATGCTGCAAATTCAACAAATTACCATTTTTGGTTCTTTACAACCTATAAAATGTTTTGAAACTCTGTTGTACATAATAATTTGGAACATTTGACTTTTTTATTTTTGAAAAAAATACTGTTATCATTGGGAGGTTTGTTCAATAAAATTTTAATTATACTCTAACGGTTGATGACTTGAAAATTATACTGACTGTCATTTGCATCGACTATTTTGGAAAATAGAAAAATAACATTTGCATAATCATATGGAACGCGCTGTATGAATCAATTTATGAACACAATCTGGACCCAGCCCAACCAAGGACCAAGGTGGGGTCACGAAGAATCATCAGATTACCTGGACCAGGTGTTTCAGCCAGTGAGGAGTTCATCATGTGTAGACACAGGTGAGGTCAGGAGGTCTGACATAGCCAGAGCCCATTCAGCTCACTGTGGACTTTAAAGTCCCCAACTCATCAACAGCTGATCCTGCTCAACACCCACTGCTCATTACTTCATTTGTGTTTAAGGTGGATTCAGGTATTTTATGGAGAACTCAGGTGTTTAAGGTGGACTCAGGTGTTCTCAGATGTTTTCTGCTGTGTGATGTAACTAGTTCTTACCTTCCAGGGCGAGGGCCTTGTGGAGGCTCCTGGTGGCCTCCTCCAGCTGTGTGTCCTGGTTGGGGGGCAGCTGTGGGGGTCGAGGAGGCAGCAGGTGGGGGTGGGGATCAGGCTGGATGGCGGACAGAGGAGGATTATGGGTATCGGACTGGCTCTGCTGCACCGGGAGAAAGGGGCCGCAGGATTTGGTGCGGGTCACTTTGACTCGCCGCTGGTCGCTGTGGTGACCATGGTAGGTGGGCGGGGCTCCGGGGGGCTGCTGGGAGGAGGAGTGACCGTTGTAGAGCAGCTGGTGCTGCGATGTGATTGGCTGTCTGTTACTGGCCTGGGACTGCTGTCGCTGCAGCAGCTGCTGTTTCCCCCAGACGTAGTCCAGCAGGACCTCGCTGTACCCCACTCCTCTTCCTCCCCCTCTTCCACGCCCTGCCCCTCCTCCCATCGCTCCTCCCTCCACAGGTCTGTTATTCGTCCTTGTCCATCCGTCCGTCAGCGTCTCAGAGCTCCTGAATGCACCAGTGGCGTTTGTTCCTCTGGACCCCGGCAGACCATTTACCCACAGTCCTCCCTGCTGTGGCCCCCCCTCCTCCTCCGGGAAGTTGATGCGGTCTAGGTGGCCATCTGAGCTGTTACTGCGATGAGCTGCGTTAACTTTGACCCCCGCCTCACCCACTGCTCCTGCATCTGAGGGGCCGGAGGAGGAGGAGTCCTGAGAGCGAGGGGGAGGATGCAGGGGAAGGGGGGGTGGGTGG